TCTCTTTTTTCTTGATACTTGGGGGGAAAAAAAGCAGCCTGAACACCTGAAATTTATTTGGAATTTGACAGTTTCACAGTGTAGAACAATTACACAGTTAGACAGTCTAATCAGAAAAATGTAACAGCTGAAAAAAATGTATGTTAATGTGGAAACCAGACCTGTGAAGTGCTATCAAAAATAAAATTAAATAGCAAAATAATGTTCTTGTCCCTTTAAACTACCAAAAATAAACCACAATACTTTCCCCATCTAGATCCTGATGCTGCGCTCAGCTCTACAGTCACAGGAGTCTGACTGTGGGGAGTTCACTGCTGGATCAAGGCACTGAGGTGTAAAATAGAGACATAAGGCAAGACTAACATTAATGCAAATCCAAAGCAAAGAGAACACAAAGTTCACAAAGCAGCAAGGACAGAATATTATTCACAATACCCATAGATTCCAGCACTTTCCTTTCTTCTGTTTATTTGCTGCTCGTTTGTATCTTTTTTTCTCTGTGATTGTGAATGGCTGCCACTAATGAGGTTTGTCACTATTCCAACAACAAATCTCTCTGAAGGTACTTGTGTGTGGTGCTTGAATGGGAGAGCAGGTGAGTGAACAAGGAAGTAAATGGAAAATCACATTAGTAACCATAGCAGCCAACAGCATTTCATCCCAGGAGAAGCTTCTTCTGGTGGAGGCTGGGCTTCCTCTTAATGAGTTTCATACACGGTTTCACAGTGATGGGGCAAGTCTTCCAAACAGTTCAGGTGACTGTTCTATCTCACTAGTAAGACCTTCCTGATGAACAGGACTACTTTGCAGCAGCCAAGGACTGGGGCTCTTGCATCAGGTAAAGCAGATGAACAAATCTTGGTTGTAATTGCAGTTAACTGCCTGACCTGGCAGAAGATTGCAGCCAAATTATTTTAACTGACGTGCATTTGTTTGATTGTGTTGGATATTTAGAAGCCAAATTCTGTTCTTTTAGAGGATTTTGTTAAGAAACTATATAACAAAGGTCACCTTTGGTAGCAAGGATGTGGGAATTACATTTCGTCATAATGACAGTGCATTTAGCTTTTGATTATAACAGAAGTTATGCATTATTGCCAGAGGTTAGAAACAAAGAGGTCAGAGTCAGAAATGTCTCATTTTCACATAGATGCTTTCTGGGAAAAAAAAAACAGATCTAGATGAAGAAAGTCAAGCAAGAGTGATCTTCAGTCTCCAGTGCTCGATCCTGTGTCCTTTGGGCCACTCTACTTCTACTAAAATCATCAGCAGAGCAGTTTAATGCTGGCCATTTTACTTGCTTCATCTTCACCTTCAGTTTGTTACCTGTCCTGGGCAGGTAAGTTCTCAGAGTACCCCAGTAACTGTTAATTATGTTCTTCTTCAAATTAAGTACATCTGTCACAAACACCAGGCCATGAAATGTTTTTAACATAAAGCAAAGACTTAAAAATTATTGTTGGTATCTCTTTTCACAAACAATATTCAGAAGGATCTGAGAAAATACTATTTCAATAGATCAAAGCACAAACATCTGTTCCACTGAGGGAATAATTAGCTTTTCAGAAATATAATAGAGGGAGAGACACAAATTAAGAAGTGATATATTTGTAGAGGAAAAGCCAGGAACGCTGCAGGATAAGCAACTGCACTCAAAGCACACACCAATTTCTCAAGCAGATGAGCAGCATACAATTAATAGCTTTTCAATCTCTGTATTTCCCATCCCTCACACTATTCTCACCTATGCCCAAGTCAACTCTTACCACCTACATACAGTTTTTTCAAGAAGTATTTAGTCACTTTAGCCAGAACTACTAGAGGTACATAGTCAGTAACATAATAGGAAGCAGGAACATAAACAGATGTTAAACATCCTAAAATCCAGAACAAAAATCCTCTGATGTCTACCATGTTATCCATGTGTACTATATCACCATTGTGCCTGTGGTAACTGTGGAACTTTATTGGGGCTCAGCTTTAAATCCTGTCTTCCCACTTTCCAAAGTCAAGGTAGACTAAACTGCAGGGTATCTATCACTGCCTCAAGAAGAGACTCCAGCATGAAGTGAACTGCTGCCCTTGGACCAGTCTCTCAACATCACTGCAATTATGAAACAGAGTAACTCAGTAAGAATTGCGAAGTAACAGAAAATACATCTGTACATAAGAAGAGTAAATCTTTTGCACACTACCATATTCACCTTCATTTCTAATGCTATTTAAACAATGAGGGGGATCTTTCAGGCAGAACTGTACTGCCACATTAAGTAAATCAGAAGCAGTGTGAGATTCTGTGGTAAGTAGTAAGATCTAGAGCATTTGGTGATTCAGCTGGGCAGGTAGGAGGAGGCTGAGAGGCCAGTAATGGATCACAAGGAATCATTCAGTAAGAACAGGAAGGAGAAATGGAGAGCAATAGAACAGGAAATCTAATCTGCCGTCAGAGAAGAAGAAGAAATTTAGAAAAGACAGCTAGGTCACACAAGATAGAGACAGCATACAGGTAATTTTAGGAGTTTATTTTTAAAATGAGAAATAAGGAGTGAAATAAATGTGATGGCATATTCAAAGACAAATAGTTTAATAAATTGCTTGAAAGTGAAACATTGCATAATAGGCAGAACAGATCCATGACCAGTATGATCAAGGCTCCTCTTTTGGCTCGACTGCTAAGTCACAACGTGACCTTTAGCAGGTCGCTTAAGGATAGATCCAATAAAGGACTCAGGCACCTTAAGACTGACTTAGGCAGATTTGAGGTACCTAAGTCTAGAAGTATGACCTAAACACCCTACTCAGTTGCACACTACCCCCGGAGAAACTTTTAACTCCAAAAAGTCAGATATCTGCTGTTCAGTCCTCCCTGCACAAACATGGCTCAGTTGGCAAGGGTGTGCTGTGTTAACTTTCGGTGTCCTACTGGTGGGTGCTCTCTTCTGGGCTGCACATTTAGGTGTCATTTTGGGGGAAGTGTGGGCACAAGAGACAGCTAACGCAGGCTGGCATTTCACCTCAATATGTGCCCAGAATCCAGCTGTGCTCCTTTTCTCTCTTTTTCTTGGCAGCATAGGGAAGGGCAGGAAAATGGCTCAGCTTTGCTTGAGCAGTAGCCGGGAAATGGCTGTATCCAAGTGTGTGTGTGTTGCCTGCCCTTGACTAAAAGAGTCAGTAAGAACAGGAGCCTTGGTCCCCTTTTCACCTAAGGGAATACAGCCAACCTTTGCAGAACCTAAAGCCACAAGTGGGTCCAGGCTCTGGATGCAAGGAAAATGTTTCTTGCAGGCCCATTTTGGTTACTAAAGCTGAAGAGACAACAAGGAACTTAGAAATATCCCCATGATGATCAAGCTCAGCACTGAGCTGTTGATAACTGTTCCCAGCTCATCAGGCGAACTTCCTTCCCTTCAGAGATGCTCCAAGAAGTGTACCAAGTAGGGTGTGCATTGTACACAAGACACTTCTTTAAGTGGAAAAATATATTGAGGCATTTGGATGAAAGAAACTACCAAAAGTATTAAGAGAAAGAAAACTTGAAAAAACAACTTTCTGCATATTTTGAAAATCCACTTTCATTCCAGATCCTGGTAAGAAGTAATGTCGTTGAAAACACTGGATTGATTAAATGGCACGGCTTAAATAAAAGTGGAATAACTTTTAAAAATATTACAAAATATGAATATTCCACAGATTCTTTGAAAATGGAATGGCTAGACAGAGAAGTATCCTAAAAACCAATCCAAAGAATTTCCTGTTTCAGCTTTGCAAACTGAATATTTTGAAATTATCCCTTTATGCTCATGAATTAAGTTCTTCTGTGGTTTTTTTGGTAATAAACTAGTTTCCTGAAGACTAATGATACGCACACATAATATTACTGTAATATGTAATTGTTCATGTAAATAAACAGATAACAGTTTTGTGTTAACTCATGCAGAATTGCTACTTTTGAGAAAAATTCCTGTTGTTTCATAGGTCTAATTATTTTCCCCTTTCAGTTTCGTGATGATTTCTCGAAAGTGAAAGGCAAGTACAGAAACCTATGTTACAAACCATTTGGTCTGTAAACAGGAGCATGAAAAGGAGAGGTGCTACAAAATGCATACAAATTATTAGTCATAACCAAGATGAAGAAAACTGGGGTTTAGACCAACATCACTTTAGACTTTGAATAGCAGCGTTACCTTGACCACAGTGCACTTAGTGTGCATTAAATTATATGTTTTGCAATCTAACCCTCAATAAATGCCAAATGTACATAATGCGTCTATATTAAAGGTGACCTGTAAAGAAGCAATTATATGTCCTTTCTCATAGTATTTACGTAATGATCTCAAAAAGTGTAATTTCTATTTTTTTCCATGTGTTAGTTGGATTAGAAATTCAGGTACTCTTTGGGTTAGCATCTTTTATGGTGTCCAGAGAACTTTTTAATTGAGACAACGCAAAAACTAAAGAAGCAAAAATTGCCTAGTTCTGGCCATAAACTAAGCAATAAAGGACAGCTTATGTGGTTGCTGCTAAAGAAGAGAATGGATTTTCATAAGCATAAAATGCTCTTGTCCAAACTAACAATTTCAGTAAATGATTGAATTTTACAAAATTGATAAGTTCCAAATTATTTTTGAGAAAGTATTTGGTGTAGAGGCTTAATTTTACATTAAGTTGTATAGAGTAATCCAGAAGTCATCTGAGACTGCTTACAAGAATCTTGCAAACTTGAGCTAGTCTTCGGTATGAATGGCATGAAAACCCAACAGTTGAGTAAAATAAAGGCCTTTAAAGGTGTTCTTTCAGGTATTTAAAAAAAAATAGAATACTGATATGCTCCTACTTCTGTTTTGTGCACGTTTTTGCTGAGTTCTGCTTATCCCTTCACCTAACACCAAGTCATTTCTATCGTTTGTGGCCTTATCAGGACAGTAATATTTGGGCTTTAGTCACTGCACAGAACTTTCTTTATCCGTTCCTGCTGCGTTTTACACGCGGGAAGGTCCCACCTGTCCGGCCGGGCTCCCGCCGCGCTGCGCCCCAGCGCTGCCGCTGCTCGGCCGCCGGGACGGGCGGAGCGGGGTTTGCCTTCAGCACAATTCGGACCCGCCGCGCGGCACCGGCAGCACTTATCGAAATCTTTTTCACGGTCCAACGAGAGGCAGGCCAGGCTCCCGCGGAGCAGCACCGCGGAGCCAACGCCACCGCCACCCCGGGCACACCCGGGAACGCATCTCCCGCCCCGGCGGGGCAAAGGCGCCGTCCCGCCGCCCGCACCTCCGCCCCGGAAGGGCGCGGCGGCCGCTCCCTCCTGTTCTGCGCCTCACCTTCCACCTTCCACCTTCCCCTCGCTCCGGGCAGGGCGGGAGCGCGGGGGGCAGGGGAAGGCGGGGCGGAGGGAGTATGCAGTATCACTTCCTATCTCCCCCAGTGCTCCCTGTTCCCTCCCAGTGCTCCAAGTACGATTCTCTGGCTCACTCCAGTGCTCCCAGTATCATTCACTGTCTCCCCCTCATTGCTCCCAGTTCCCTCCCAGTGTCACTCCCTGGCTCGCCCCAGTGCTCTCAGTTCCCTCCAGGTGCTCCCGGTATGACCCCCTGGTTCCCCACGGCCCCGCCCCCATCTCCCCCCCCCATGCTCCCATGCCATCTCAGTATTCCCAGTGTCACTATCTGGCTCCCACTCCGTGCTCTCATTCCATCCAAGCTCTTCCAGTATTGCTTCCTGTCTCCTACCAGCGTTCCCACTTCTCCCCTACTGAACCCAGTGTCACTCCCTGGCTTTCCCCCCCACCGTGCTCTCAGTTCCCTCCCAGTGCACCCAACACCACTCTCTGGCTTGTCCCTACGCTTTCAGTTCCCTCCCAGTATCACTCCATGTCTCACTTCAGCTTTCCCAAACCCGCTCCCGCGCGAACCCCGCGCGCAGCCGTTACCGGTCGCCCCTCGCGCGCGGGACAGGAGGGGGAGGGGGAGAGGGCGCAGGCACGGGCACGAGCGCCGGCGCGCGCATGCCCGCGCGCCCGCCCCGCGTGACGTGCGCGCGGCCGGGAGCGCCCGGCGAGATCGGAGCGGCGCGAGCCGGGCGCGGGCCGGGCCGGTACCGGGCGGGCGCGCGCGCGAGGAGGTGCGGGGGGAGCGGCGGGGGCGGCCTCGGCCCCGCCCGCCGGATAAAGCCCCGGAGCGGGCGGGGGGTGGGAGAGCCGATCTGGGCAGTGGCTGGCGGCGGCTTCTCTCCGCCTCCTCTCCGCGAAAGTGTAGTGGCGGCGGCGGCAGCGGCAGCGGCAACAGCAGCGGCAACAGCAGCAGCGACGGGGGGTATGCGGGGCCCCGGGGCGCCGCGCCGCAGCGGCGGCGGCGAGCACATGGCATAGCCGGGACTGGCGGCGAGCGCCGGGCCGGCGTCACAGCGGGTCCGGCGGGGCGAGCGCGGCTCCCTGCATGTGGGAAGGGAGGAGGCGAGCCAGGGAGCCCGGCGGCACCGGCGAGCACCCGGCGGCGCGGTCCTGAGCCGCCCGCCCGCCATGGATTGCAGCCTCCTGCGGACCCTCGTGAGCCGATACGTGAGTACCGCCCGTGCCCCTCGCACCCCAGCGGGGCGGGGAGCGCCCGCCGTGGCCCCGCGCTCTCGGGAAGGGCTCGGTCGGGAGCTGGGCGGTCCCATGACCGGCTCGGCAGCCGGGGGAGCCCCGGGGGCTGCCACACGTGATGCCCGGTGTCAGCGGAGGATGCAGCGGCGGGTGTCGATGCGCTCCCTGCAGCCCGCCCGCCCCACGGGACTGTCCTTCGCTGAACCAGAGCGGCTTGACCTGAGTTCAGAGCACTGTAGTTTACAGTGTGCTGCGATACGTAGTTATTAGGGCAGAGAAAATGTCCAGTGGTTGTGGGGGTTTTTTTGTTTGTTTGGTTTTGTTTAGGTTTTTTTCCCCTTTTCTTCTTGTTACATTGTCTCAGTCAAGCGGCGTTTTTGTGGAATTGTCCAATTTAAATACACTGGCGAATGGTCGGAATAGTCCCAAGTTTTTGTATCTGTGCGTAGTAAGATTCAAACACGCCAGACTTGAGAGTACAGCGGTGAGAGAGAGGTCCTCTCGCGTGTGAAAGCCCACCTGTACCCCCTGAAAGAACAACTCGGTAGCGCATTAGGGTGCATCCAAGTGTAGGCTGAAGTATGTCAGTTGGGTGCGAGTCTGGTTCCACTGAACCCCAAACAAATGCTCAGGATAATGTTTTAAGTAGATTGGTAGAATGCCTGTAAGTGTGGGGCTATGCAATAAAAGGGATGGGGACAACCAATACCGGGAAACTGCAAATTTCTGCTTTTGGGTGTAGAAGAAATTTTTAAAAGGTAGGGAGAGAGAATTTGGATTTTCAAATATATATGGCTTTTTGCCCTATGCAAAAATTCCTCTAATTAAGGAAACTTTGGTGCTTTGACCAAGCAAAAATAAATACACTTAGATTTGTGTGTGTCAAGAGCTATCTCCACATAGTACAGGCTGAAGTCTGTCTTTTTGAAGCGCAAATGAAGAAAAATAGCAGAGGTGAAAAATGGTTGGATTTTTTCCTCCTGTTTGCAATAGAATATTATGTGCAATGACGAGAGAATGGAGAAGTGAATACTGAAAGCAGCTGTGCGTATGGATCCTTAGAAAGCGGCCCTGAGGGAGAATACTCAAACTAATATGCATATTAATAATGAGGTATAAGAGAAAGAGAAGCAATAGTCTCTATGGATATATAAAGCTCAGGTGAGCTGTGCTGAGGTCTGAAGCAGGTGGGATCACTTGGGGTATAGAGATCTGTCAGTGCTGATCTAACTTTGGATTTAGTTTAAGATTTCTTTTTTTATATGTGCTCACATCTGGAACCTGTACAAAAGGCGCATTCATTGTGCACAGAGCAAGCATACTGTTAAATCTCCTGCACAACATTGTTGCTAACCTCTTTCTAACTAGGCTTAAGCATCAGATATAAAGGAAACAGAGTAGCTAAACTAGGTGTAAATGAGAAGACAGTATGTTGAAAATAAGGCACTTGAGCCTTTAAGTTGTGGACTGTCACCCCTCTCTTGCACTGCTGACAAGCTAATTCAGCAGTCTAAAAGATAAATGAAACATTATTAAATCCCATGTGAGGAAGGGTTCCTATTTCCTGGGTTACACTACTTTCTGCATTGTATATATGCCAATAGGCTATGCCTAGGTAATGGCCCAGCTGTTCCAGGCTGCCTTGTATATTTTCACCTGTTGCTTCTTGTTCTTCTGCATGCCTCCAGTGTCTTAATTTAGAATTCTTTCTTCCAAGGAAAGGTAATTTTGAAAAAAGCTGCTTTAAGTAAATTTTTGCTCGTCATTTCATTAAGGCCATTAATATCTGGCGAGCTGATGCCTATGTTGCACGTTTTCTTTTTTTATCTGCACGGTTCAACACTTTTGTACATCTACAGCAGTGAAAATGAAACGTAGTAGTTTGAGTGCTGGGCCTGAAACTGGCTGCAGTGCATGAGTAGCAGATGTACACGTCAGCAGTATCACTCCGTAGTTTTTCACCAAAGCTCCGTGCACACCAGCCAGACCACACAGGTGGAGATGTGCTTGCCGCTTTCCAAACTGCTTTTTAATTAGGCAGTGACTCTTCTGTGGGGAGAGTTGGAGTGGATAGTTACATCTTGTGTTTCTTTCAAAGTAAGCTCAAACTTTGGTTTAGTTAAAATCTGTAAGGAAACTTTTCAATGATCAAGGGCCTAGAGGTACAAATCTGTGTCCTGCAAGTTGTGTCCTGGTCATGTTCAGCTGCAGGTCCTTTCTAGAGCAGGCTGGTCTCAGGATTATCCTGAGAACCTTGGCTGATGCAAACTGGAGATGTTGTTTGGGTAGCCGGGAGCTCTTATGGTACGATCTTGGGATAACAGACAGTTGCTATGTGATGTACTAATGGAGACTTCTATTAGAATAGTTTCTAACATTTCTAACGTCACTTCTTGTGTGTCATTTCTTTCCTGGTGCTGGACATAAAGACATAAGTTAAATACAAGGGTTCTTGTTATTGTGAAGATCCTCCCCATTCCCCTTTCCCTTACTGTGCAGTTGCTGTCCTGAAGCAGTGCAATATCATACATGTTTCCAAGGCCCTGTGGAAGAATAGCGATGACTGGGTGCTGCCAGTTTCCTGGTTAGCATTTTCAAATATGTCTGTTGTTTTACCTGCATTGAGTATCGTGTTTATGTCTTCCAGGCATTGAACACTTTAGCCATGTGGGCTGAATAAAATAGATGTTCATCATGCTTGTCATACTGGAGTTCATATCTCTTCACCAAGAGATGATGTAGCCTCTTAGACAGACAGAGGGAATTATGTCTTTATCTTACTAAATTTTAAAATTTACATCCTTGTTCTGCCTCTTTAAATCCTGCAAACTTTGGGGTTTTTCACTTCAGCTCTTGCTTCCTGTTACCATTACTGCAACCATACACAATTTACAGGATTGATGGGGAAGAATCACTTTCTCTAGAAAAGGTACTTGCTTCACTGCAGTACAGCTGACATGAAGTTCATTATAGTTTTCTAAATCCTTTGTGATTCCTCTAGCTGATATACAGCAATGTAACTTTTCTTAATTGTGTCTAATGAGGTTATTTTTTATATTTTGCTGATTTAAAATGTGTGTGAGCTATAGTAAAGGCATCTTTAAGTCACAAAACAGAAACATCTTTATATATAGCTTTTCCACTTTGTGGAACCATAGGAACTAAATAAGCTTTCTACAGTAAGATAAATAGGATAAATTTTTACAACTGTATTGTTTAATTTACTTTCCCAAATAATGGAAGTAATGGTTTTATGGGGGTAGTGTGAAAATTGCCTTGGTGGGGCTACGCTTTTTGTCACATACTCTATAAAAATATTACCTCTTGTTCTGAATGTTGCTTTTGCGTCAGGCAATATGTTCCTCTGTCTTCTCCTTGGATTGTTTGTGTATTCCCTAGAGGATGTGGGATACCCCAGGGATGGCAGCCTCATAGCCAGAGAATACAGAATTAGCATGTGCTATCCTGTAAATGTCATGGAGAACCTGCTATGTGCTCAGCAGTACACTATTTAGGGTAAAACCAAGCAGACAATGGCAATTGAAACTGTCTCCATACAAGATTAGCTTTTGTTTTATAGTTAGATTATTTGGGACACTGTGGATATCATTAAGTGATGTGTTCTGCCTGTATAACTGCAGCTGCATTAGTTTTCTCTGGTGACTTATTTCTTACTGATCTTAGGACTGCTGAAGTCCCTCCTCTTCACAGTCAAAGGATGGCTAATAATATTAAAACAAGTCTTGGTGACTTCTTATCTTTCATAAAATGAACACTTTTCGTAATAAAACCTGTGCACATGTCTTTTGGGTATTCATGGTGGCCGTTTATGGCTGAATGTGGATTTGAATATATCTGGGCAATCTGGGAAGATGCTGCTCTTTAGCATATGTGTGTTTGGACACTAAATGATTGCTAAACGTCTTGCAGCCTATGGCGGCAGTCTGTTCTGGATTTGCAAGACAGCTGGCCCTCATCACTAAAAATTCCTGTCCATGTATGACTTTGGGCTATACAGTAAATGCTACTGGGTCAAAGGTCTGTATTACTGAACAGTTTTGCCAGTATTATGTAGTATATTTAGATATCTTGCTACTTTACTGCTTCTCCTCTTTCAGATTCTGCTGTTACTTCAGGATATTAAGTATTTGTTGCCTGTGTAAATATGTCCAAATGCACATAGTAGGAGGTAAGATTTATTTTTAGAAGGAACAGGGATTTACCACAGCTCTGGACCCTGGGAAGCTGCTGGCCTATTAATTGTGCAGGTATTTTTGAAAAAATCTTTTTTTTGGAAGATTGGAATAAATGAGCTTACAAACTGATGCTCTATTTGTCACTATTGTAGAAGTGGGTCAACTTTAATCAGTCTGAGAAGATTGACTAGTCTAACCAGGAAGTTACGTTAGGGGCTTCTAGCCCCTAAAACTAAGTTTCGTGGAAACCTGTGGCTTTTGGTCATGGTTTAGATGATTTTTCCTAAGTATTTTGCTTGTATTTGTAGTCTTAGTAGACATAAATCAATATTGAGCTTCAGTTTATTTATATATCTAGTTTTGATACAGCAAAGGTTGCTAACTACTTTGACTTGAAAGTTGGCAAAATTATAAGTGCTGGTGCTCAGTATTTGTCTTAAAGGGCAATCTATTTATCAAGTATTTCAGATGAGTTCAGTTAATACATTTGAGGATACCCCTGTGGTCAGTTCTTGGTTTTGCTTGTATTTATTCAGCTCTCTCTGCACCCTGGCAGATGAGTGTTACCTAGACAGCAGTAGTTTGTTTCTTATTCAGGGTGCCTGCTAACATAAGCACAGTTTTCTTCCTAGCTATCACTTAAAATAAGTCAAAAGGTTTGTGTTGGGTTTGGTGTTTAATTCCAGGGATATGACTTGACAAAATCTTAAGCTGTTTTAAATGTCATAAGTGTGTTTGTA